GAGGAGGAGGAGTGGAGGACTCTTCGTCTGACTCTGCTCGTCTGCTCCTCTTCCAGAATTTTCCTTTTGCAAAATATTTTTTTTTATTGGTCATTGTGTCTGGGCCTCTTTTTTGAGGCCCCTTAAAATATGAGGCCCAAGGCAATGGCCTTGTTTGCCTTGGGCCAGGGCCGGCCCTGGTTCTTGATTATATTTTTTTTAGGGTTTACGATTTAAGAGATATGCTTGTAGAATGATGATTAAGTTTGGGTCTGATTGAATTTTCATGATCTGTACTTTCTCTTTGGAAGGTTACTATTGTGCTTAGTGTTTGGGCTAATCTCCTGCCACCCGGATCAAAGTTCTGCCACATCTCTGTGTGCATCGCATTCACATCCAAATTTAGTGCCCAAAATTTCTATCTTTTAGAAGAGTGTCGGATCAAGTTCAATTGATGCAGTGAATTTTAAATTGAAATTTGTTATATCTATAAATTACGTGGCATGTGTAAGACGGATAGGTCCCACATATGCTGACTTTGCATCAATTATTCAATTGGTTTAGACATATTTAATTAAGCAACATATTTGTTATATACCTTTATCTCATTCTTGCATTCATTTATTTTTCGTTCGACCGTTAACTTGATCATCGGAATGCAAATAGTTGTCAGATCTCTTACTCAATTGGTGGTCTTTGCATTCTAATGGGATGTTTCAATGTGCATGTGACGTTTACGTCAAGGGGATGCGGTCGGGATTCTATTGGCTTAAAAATTGAGGTCAACACAATTTGTTAATAGGAAGTGGATTAACACCACGACGATTACTGAGGCACGGGACCGACTTCTACCATCGTGACGTTCTCAAATGTCATCAAAAGATGGAAGGGAGTAGCTCATGGGCCCCCTTTGTGTTAAACATTAGGAAAAAATAAAATATTTTCTAGCTTGTAATGAAATTTCAATTGTGTGACTAAACTTTCAACCCCATTTTTTGTGGGATAAGCTTATATGCATATGTTGGAAATAATTTCTATCTTGTGCAATAGTTTGTCACAATTGTGTAAAAGACTAGTAAAAATATTGTAAACTATGTAAGTTTTACATAATATATAAGGAATGACTAAGGGTTTGTTCTCTTTATCATTTTCAAGTCGTTTTCTGTTTTTGATTTTTCAAAATAATGAAAACGCGTTATCTTTCCTATTTTTGAAAACGCGTTTTTGAAAATAAGTTAAAAATTTACAAAGAAAACACAAAACAACAAAGTTGTTGTTTTGAGTGTTTTCAATTATAATCAAGCCAAAATTTTCAAAACGCATTTTGGGTGTTTAAAAAAAAAAAATTCAAAATGCCAAAAATAACGCATTTTCAACATTCTCAAAATGAACACTAAAAACACAAAATTCAAAATGAATTCAAAACTCAAAACATAAAATTAAAACACAAAAAGAACATCCCCTAAGAATTTGGAGAATAAAATCATCTTCACATGGAATATTTTTGCCAATCTGAAAGCTAAATCAAGTTAGTAGGCTCAACATGTAACAAGCCTAAAGCTACAATGTTTTCATTTGAGACTTAATTGAGAAGTTTAAAAAGTTAAAGATCAAATTGAAAACGTTTCATTTTTAAAAAGACTTAAATGGAAACAATAGAAAATATTTACTTAGCCGGAAAATAAATAATTATAATATTATAATAATACAATTAGAATTCTTTTTTTTCGAAGAACACACAAATCTTCGCGAAAAAATGTTGAAAGCTGCTCTCTTTAAACGCAAGAAAACTTCAAAGCCATTCAAGGAGTTCTACAATGAGTGGTTCGCCACTCTCACCACCACCCTCCTCCCCTCCCTCCGCCGAGCACTTTCACCAGGTTTCCTATCTCCGGTCATCCTATCAACCCAAGTCGAGCTCATGCACCACCATTTCCGGTCATACTACGACGCCCTCGACCAGGCCGCCGCGGCGGACGTAGCCCAGTGTCTCTATCCCGAGTGGCGGAATTCCATCGAACGGTCCTTCCTCTGGCTCGGCGATCTTCATCCTTATCTCTTCACCAACCTCCTCCGTTCATTTCTTGCTGATCAAGAACCACCCGTCGATGAAAATGTCACCAAATTTCTTGATAAATCTTGGCACGTGGTGATGGCGTGGAAGAGTCCGTCCAAGACTTTGACGACGAAGGTTGACAAGATTGAGTGTGGGTTGAGGCTGATGGTGCCGGCATTAGCGTCGCGGTGGCGGAATGCGCAGTCGGCGTTTGTGGAGAATATGGGGACGGCGATAGGAGAGGCTTTGGCAGCGGAGATGGAGGACATGGTGGGGGTGTTTGTGGATGCTAATAGGCTGCGGCGCAGCATTCTGGCGGATATTCTGAGCGCCACCGATCTTTATCAGGCTGCTTTGTTTCTTGAAGCACTTGCCCAATTCCTAGTTGGGTTCAAAGATCAAAAACTGCTCAATGAATTTGAGAAATGCAAAATCGCAATCAATTAACGAAGAGAATTTTATGTGAATTGGGCACTAAATGGAGTTTTGAATATGTAAATTTTGTTTTCATTATTCAAGAATTTTTGTGTGTTAGAATATAAATCTTGATATAAAGCATGATTGAAAAAATAAAGATTTTAGTTTATTTTTCTTTTTACTAATATTCAATGCTATCTAATTGAATCCTCTAACTCTTATGGGAACATGTTTCCGGGTTTTCAATGGTATTTGGCTTATTGCTGCATTTAGGAAGTAATTGCTGTTACTGATTTACAAACTATTTGCAGATATTCCAGCCCAGATTGGGGGTAAAAACAAAGCTACAAAAAACACTTTACATGGACAAAGAATTAAAAAATATAAAAACGGACCTTTTATAAAATTTAGGGTGGCCACCAGTTATCTTTTGATCCAAATCTTACTCGTTTTACCTATACTTACACATTTAGACGAAAGTCTGCTTTTCTCAATCAATTAGATAGATATGGCCCCAAGACAAGAGCCCCTCGTGGGGAGCCTAAACTAAATAAATAGGGTGTTTGAAGGAAAATAAAGACGCATAGTTGAAATATGTTTTGACTTTGATGATAAATAGTGGAGTACCAAAGCATTTTGAAGCATTCGTTATTTAACGAACATATTTCTATTTTTTTCCTCAATATGAAATAGTGATGAGCTATGAGATCTTCCTTCGAATCGTTACGACGCTCGAATTATTATAGGGATGGTAAAACATCCTTCAAACTGGATACTCACGAGGCCTCACTCGGGGTACGGGTAACAAGGGCACGCCCCGTTTAATCTTTAATATTTTTTTTTTTTTTAAGAATTCAATACTTTTAATGAAAAACTCCACGAAATTTCATTCGTTCTGAAGATTGCTAGGAGACAATTGGATAGAATTAGAACTAAAAAAGGAATGAAATATGATCAAAATATTATTAAAATCAACTTTCAATTGCACAAGTTATATTTCAGATTTTTTGTCAAAAATTTAGATTCATTTTTGGCATAATAAACGTCCGAAATGGAAACAATATATTTCTATAAAGGTTGTATCTTTTTGAGTTAGATTTCCAAAGCACATTGAATTGTCTCAATCGGATATCGGGAAAGAAAGTTATGGCCAAAATACTGACTGCTATGCAGAAACAAAAAATATGCGCACGAAGACAACTTTCCTTATTCGATTGGAACTCTTTTGGAAATCAATTTGGACGTGATTTTCAACCAATTTTCTACTCCTACAAATATCTAACAACAGAAAACATATTTGAGATCTTTCATATACTTCTCATACTTTGATATTCAGTAATTATTATCATCAAATCAGGAAAATTCATAGTTTTGTTAGAGAACTGAAGGGGACTTGCAAGAATTCAATCAAGTGAAGATTCAAACTTAATTTTTGGGCAAAGAAGAAAAAGAGCAAGTGGAGATTCATCAACCATTGAAGAGATTTAAGATTTCAAGGTTCATCTTCTCAATTTATTAAAAATTCGGGTTATGTCTTTTCACTTAAATATGATTCTTGTAATTCGATATATTAGGCTAGTTTTATATATTTCTAGGATGAGATTAACCATTGTTATGAGATTTTTGGTATTAATTAATTATTTTGAAGATTAGTTTTCTTTGATGTTTATTATTGTTTTTATCGACTTTTCAATTAATTAGCTACTAATTGAAATGATTTATTGGAATCTATATTATTATCGAGAGAGATAATAGGTTTTTAGCTAAGAATAATAAACATTATAAAGTGCGATAGATGATAGAGATATACCTCTATACTTTACATGGTTTCCATAGGTGTTCTAGATCGTTTAATGCATTTATCATGTTTACATCTTTCATTGAGAGATAAGAGGGTCACATGAGGGAAATATATTTGATAACTATCGAAAGAGGTTTTCAATTAAATTAGGAATACTAACCAACAAAAATGAATACAAATTTTCACTTTAATTTGTTGTACTAAAAATGGATTAACAAGCTTAGCAATAATTTCACATATTTGAAATCGAACCAATTAAATTGATTTATAATTTAATCGATAATTTAGATATTAGTATAGAAAACTCAAAACCTATTTGCTATTCGATTAAGGTTGCTATTAATTTGAACTCGATTGAATACTCAGTGCTCGCGAATTCGACATTCTACGCACTACTATATTACTTGTTCACGATCTTATTCACTTGCGAAAAATCAAATGACCACCTTTTCTTCTCCAATTTGCGAAAGCATCGATAATAATCCTCACTGCCATTTTTCTTCTTTGTCAAATACACTCTACATACTACTATATTATTTGTTCAGAATTTCGTTCACCTGCAGAAAATCAAACGCTCATACAGAATAAAGCACTGCCAGATTATTTACAGATACAGTAGACCGTTTTTCATTTGAAAAAGGCAAAAATAATAATAATAAGTAACCAACCAGGTGCTGCTGTGATAGCCCTTGTAAAACCGTTGACGGGATTTCCTCTGTACGCGTATCTTTTTCCTTCAAACTATAGGTAAAACCCAGTATGTCTTCATGGCCCAAACATTTCCTACTAGTTTCTTCAATTGGGCCAAAGATGGGGACCCATAATCGTGCTCCAGTCTCAGCATATGTCAAGTCTTTTCCTGATTATGGGCCCCCATCTTCACCTTATGAGAGTAGTAACTGAAAAAGTGCTCTTTTATATTTTATAAAAGAAGAGAAGGGAAAGTTGCACAAATAACCTAGAAAAAAAAAAGATTACTTATGAAAATACTGTCCAACCCTTTTCTTTAACCAAAACACTGTTTTTCTTACATTATTGTTTCACTTTTTATAATATAAACTTTTATAACGTACTTTGTTACGCACATTCCGTTGCTTATTTCCACTACCTTATTAAGTCAACACGAACATAAAAAACCACAATAACTCGATATCACGCATCTAACTAGCATAACCGCTATGTTTTAGAAAGAGAAATTGAGGGGAACTTTAGAGATCAACCATCATGTGTTTGAAGCGATTACGCTTTTTGGAACTAATGGGTATTTTTGAAATATTATAAGGTGAACAATTGCTGTGGAATCAGAGAAATTAACTAAGTGGGCGGCATCATTTCTTCTTACGGGAATAGCGATTATATTCTAAATATACTAGATAGAATATGTCTCTATTAAATCCTTACATCGTCCTCACATAGGCTTTGTCTGGCCCTGCTTTTCATTAGATTTTCAGTAGGAATATAGCCCTTTTTTTCGAACAATGGCCCCCACACCTCTCATCTTTGGTCAACTTTTGCGGCTGGAGTTCTTTGCAACGATTGAAAAATCACTCAAAATTTGGCAAAGAATTCGGCCCAGACACAGCCATAATCTAATATTGAGATGATAAATAGTAAAACAACTAATCTTACAATCATAAACTAATCATATTGAATATTATCACCTTTGCCCACGACAAAGTAATCGATGACTCACTTGAGTGCAACACTTCCTAACGTTCGATCCAAGTGTTGACATCTTAACAAAACCTTGTCGGCGAACGTCTTCTATAGTTTAAGAGACTAGCTAAATTTCGGCTTGTGGGAGATTTCTCATTTTTAATTAAGTTCAATCTAACTACCAAAACGTTTTCTCGACTAGACTGCATGTTTCTTGTGTAGATTGATCTGACTTGGTGCCTACACGAAGATATGCACTCAGACATAAAATATCAGATTTTTTTTTTGTCGTTTATGAATATATTCATGTATCTTAAGTTACAAAGAAAACACAATATCAACAAGTATAGTTTATCTTGACAACTCGATATTTTTAATAAAAACTCAACTTGACAATGTATTAGTATCCAAGTAATCAGAAATATAAATTATAATATTTATTTACATAATTAATTATTTCAGGTGGTAGCAGTTAAGAAGCAGTCTTCTTTTATAATTTACAAATTCCATGTTTAGTTATTATATCTTCACTTCACTTGGTAGCGACTTGAGATTTGTAATTTTGTTCTCTTGGGACAGACATATTTCATTATTATTAAAAAGAGATATTGTGATAAGATATCTCTTTATTTTCTATTATTCGAACTTATCCTCTAATCTATTTCCTTCTCTGTTAGTAAGCACGTGAAATTTGTTTGTGCAATTAATATATTGTTAACTTATCAAGAGCACTGCGAATCACTTAGGACAAAAAATGTGAGTTCCAATTGAGAGCTCTATGAGTCTTAAGTGCAAGTTACATAAGCCCCTACGGTCAAAAAAGACCCGAGCTTTGCAGGTCCCATATTACTAAACGGATCCAAATAAGACAATTGCATTTTTACATATTGGGGATACTGTGGTTTTGTTGAGAAATTCAATGATCCGGGTCGGCCTTGAAATTTTGTCTACCCTTTACATAATTCAAAATTTTGAAAGAGTTGTTTCCTTCATTTAATTAAGAAAAATACATAAGTAAAAAATAATTCCTTAAATTAACAAAAAAAAATGTATTTAATTAATCATATACGTGGTGTCTCTATAATTATAGGGTTTTGTGAGGTAGTACAGCCTGTATGCCTTTGAATTAGTGACCGTTAAACTTTGATCATCTCAATAAAATGGTTTATGACAACAGTATTTCTCACGATGGCTAAATATTATCAGTCGTGAAAAAGTGAAAGAAACGACGAAGTTTGGTTAATAGTGTTATTAGTAATTGTAGACAGCATTTCCATGATATTAACCATCATAGAAATTCTAAATATTATCAGTCGTGAAAAAGTAAAAGAAATTTCGTTCCTGATTGAATTGAGGTGTTCCAATCTACTTTCATAAGCCATCAATGTGAATTGAAGCTCTCCCCAAGACATGTGATCTCTGATGTTCAGTTGAACAACAATTGGGGTATAATCTTCATCTAATCCAGCTAAGACTTGAGTGATTAGATCTGTGAGAGTAATGGTTTTCTCGGCAATCTCTAAATTATCAGAGAGTTGTTTTACCTTGTCGAGGTATTGATCTATACTCATAT